ACAACACCAATAAAAATATTTACTTTTCGAGGAGGGTACTTATTCCATCTAGTTGCTATCATTCCGTCTGGAAAAGATTTGTTATCAATAACTCCTCAAGCCTTTGTAAGTGTAAACTGATCAACACCTCCTGCATCCCAAACCCATTTATCACTAAAAACGAAAGTGTTGAAATTAGTAAGAAGTTCCATCAATTGCATAAGAAGAATACGACTAGCATTTAAAATTGATCTTGGAATTGCTGAGAAAGGAAAAATCTTATGCCAAATTCTCCAAATGTGAATTTTGGATCAGGAAAGTACACTTCCTATGGCACGTTGTGAGTAACAAAGGGATACATGTAGACCCCACAAAAATCAAAGCACTTAAGAATTGGGATGCACCAAAGACCCCAACGGAAGTGCGCCAATTCTTAGGCCTTGCAGGGTACTATCGGAGATTTATAGAAAACTTCTCCAAGATAGCTAAACCTCTCGCTTCATTAACACAAAAAGAAACAAAATTCAGTTGGGGAGATAAGCAAGAGACTACATTCTAGAAATTGAAACTAATGATGTGTAGTGCACCGATCCTATCCTTACCGGATAGGATCGGTGCACTACACATCAATTGCATAAGAAGAATACGACTAGCATTTAAAATTGATCTTGGAATTGCTGAGAAAGGAAAAATCTTATGCCAAATTCTCCAAATGTGAATTTTGGATCAGGAAAGTACACTTCCTATGGCACGTTGTGAGTAACAAAGGGATACATGTAGAGCCCACAAAAATCAAAGCACTTAAGAATTGGGATGCACCAAAGACCCCAACGGAAGTGCGCCAATTCTTAGGCCTTGCAGGGTACTATCGGAGATTTATAGAAAACTTCTCCAAGATAGCTAAACCTCTCGCTTCATTAACACAAAAAGAAACAAAATTCAGTTGGGGAGATAAGCAAGAGACTACATTCTAGAAATTGAAACTAATGATGTGTAGTGCACCGATCCTATCCTTACCGGAAGGAACTGAAGACTTCGTTTTATATTATGATGCGTCAATCCAAGGATTGGGGTGTGTATTAATGCAGACATAAAAGGTAATTGCTTATGTCATTCGAAAACTCAAAATTCATGAAAACAACTACACGACCTATGACCTACAACTGGGAGTTGTAGTTTTTGCCTTAAAGATTTGGAGACATTATTTGTATGACACGAAGTGTATTATTTTCATGGATCATAAAAGTCTCCAGCACATCTTCGATCAAAAAGAACTGAACATGAGACAAAGAAGACGGATAAAGTTGTTTAATGATTATGAATGTGAAATTCGGTATCATCCAGGCAAAGAAAATGTCGTAGCCGATGCCTTGAGTCGCAAAGAGCATGCGAAACCTTGACGAGTTAAAGCACTGACTATGACCATCCATTCTAACCTCAATGCACAAATTCGTGAAGCCTAGCTTGAAGCTCTAAAATAGGAAAATATTGGGGAAGAGGCTTTACGAGGAATGGATAAACATTTTGAGCTTAAGGATGACGGGATGCGTTATTTCATGAATAGAATCTGGAAACCAGAGTTTAGTGACATCAGAAGCTTAGTCTTGGACGAAGCTCACATATCAAGATATTTTGTACATCTTAGCTCCGACAAGATGTATTTGGATTTGAAGAAATTGTATTGGTGGCCTAATATGAAAGCCAAGATTGCCACTTATGTGAGCAAGTGCATGACTTGTTCTACAGTCAAGGCGGAGCATCAAAAGCCCTCGGGATTACTACAACAACCTGAGATTCCCGAGTCGAAGTGGGAACAAATTGTTATGGACTTCATCATAAAGCTGCCCAAGACCCCTAGTGGTTACGACACTATTTGGGTGGTGGTTGACATATTAACTACGTCTGCCCATTTCCTACCAAAAAAAGAAACTGACAAGATAGAAAAGCTGACAAGAACATACCTCAGGGAAATTGCCAAACTTCATGGAGTTCCGATTTCTATTATCTTCGATAGAGATAGTAGGTTCACTTCTAGTTTCTGGCAATCTCTTCATAAATCCATGGGAACTCACTTAGATATGAGGACGACTTACCATCAGCATACGGATGGTCATAGTGAACAAACCATTCATACCTTAGAAGATATGCTCTGGTCTTGTGTGATTGAATTTGGAAACTCTTGGGATACTCATTTACCATTGATTGAGTTCTCCTATAATAAGAGTTATCATACCAGCATCAACGTTGCACCGTTTGAAGCTTTATACAGACGAAAGTGTCGATCACCTATATGCTGCGGAGGTCGGAGATACCCAATTAGCCGAAGAGCACACAAATTATACTTTGTGTACTAGACCCGAGATAATCCATGAAACGACCGAGAAGATTGTGCAAATCAAAGATCGGCTTAAGGCTGCACATGATCGTCAGAAAAGTTATGCCGACGTAAGATGTAAACCTCTGGAATTCCAGGTCAAAGACCGAGTGATGTTGAAAGTCTCTCCCTGAAAAGATATGATTCGATTTGGAAAAGAGGAAAATTGAACCCAAGATACATAGGACCTTTTGAAATTCTCAACAGAATTGGTCCTATTGCTTATCGACTAATGCTACCTCAAGAGTTGGACAAAGTGCATGATGTATTCTACGTGTCAAACCTAAAGAAGTGTCTGTCTGATGACACCAATGTGATACCTCTCGATGAGATTTAATTGAACACAAAACTCCACTTCGTTGAAGAACCTATGGAGATTATGGACCGAGAAATCAAGCGTCTAAAGCAAAGTCGTATTCCTATCGTAAAGGTGCGCTGGAACTCTCAGCGAGGACCAGAATTCACCTGGGAACGCGAAGACCAGATGAGACTAAAATACCCCTAATTGTTTAGTGATACCCCGTCTACAAGTTGAATATTGAGACAAAATTCTTTTAACGGGTGGAAAATGTGACAATTGGTAAAAATATGATCTACTGTACAATGATCTATATTAATTATAAGCAATAGGGGTTATATTATCTATAATTGCTTGAGGAGTTAATTATGCTTTATTTGAAAAGTTGAAAAAAAAATCTTTTGATCTAAGACTTGTGTCTAATGTTTAAGTCCATTTTTATAATATGTTATCCCGAATTAAAATCGGTTTCGTGAAAACTATCAAATAAAAACCATTTGAACACAAAATTCTAATTATTGTTTTAACATCGCCTCGGATAACGGAAAAATATGACTTCCGTGAACCTATTTGGAACCATCACTCATGTATACAATATTTTAAGAAATCAAGTTAGTTAATTTATGAATTAGGATGAGGGAAAATAAATAACATTATGTACATAATTATACATTAAACTATCAATCTTTTATATATATATATATATATATATATATATATATATATATCATGTGTAATTAAAAATACTCTAGTATTTATAAGTTATGTATTCTTGTATAAATACTAAAAAGCAATTATATATATATATATATATATATATATATATATATATATATATATGTGTGTGTGTTGTAGTAAAATTTGACAACTTGTACAATTAGAATAGGAGTGTGCATGGAATAAAATTTGCAAGTAAACAACAAAATATTCAAATTGAAACTTCACTAGATAAGTCCTCTCATGCCTCACGCATCTCTCACATACAACCACAATTCATTCATCATTACATGCACATGCATTATATCAATTCAAGATACTAAGGATATGGGAAGATTATGAAGCGCATGGACTTAACTAACCCAAACAAATCCTAGTCTCTCACCCTGAATCTCATTAGCGCCCTCTCTCATAACTAAGTTAATTGATTCAACCAAATCCTAAATAGATCATTAAAAGCATCAACTAGAAGAATATTTGAAGTACATGTAAATGATCATATTATATCTTCAAAGATATTACTAACACATCCCTCCCTACTTCTCTTTTATAACTCATGAACCCTCTCTCTATTTCTCTATCTCTATTTCCTTTTCAACACTCTCCAAACACTCTCTATCCTCCACTCAAACTCACCCATTTTCCATCCCACTCCTTCTCTTCGAAACCCACCAAAACCAAAAGCAAAAGGGGAGCTACTGCCCCCTCGGTTTCAGTTCTCATTTCAGCCCTCCTCCGCTCCCTGGTGTCGAGTATTTATAGCCCTAAACACCCCTTATTTCCCCTGGTTTATTGTTTCCTTCGATGACACCAAAAAGAAATCACTTATCCTCCTTAGTTTCTTGCTGGTTTTCGAGTAATTAAAGACCGAAGAAAAACCCCTCTTTTTGTTGTTGTTTTCGAAGTCAAAACAACCTCATAAGGAGCTGTTTTTTGAGTGCTAAAAAGGTCCAAGAAACACTCTCATTTTCTCCTTAAATCCTAGTGTTTAACCTTCTTTTGGTCATCTACTTTGGCACTAGAAATCCTAGGTGATTGTTTATACTTTTCCTTTCTTCATTTGTATCAAAAACAACTTATTTGTTGTATAAATGAACCTTAATAAATTCTAACTTATTAATCCATGTCCATATGTGCTTAGACATTCCAAAAGACATCTAATTCACGAGTTGGTGGAACCAAAAACATCCTAATTTCCTAAACCAATTAACACTACGTGGGTGAGTCTCTACGGCTCCTTTTTCATATTTTAATTTATTTCCGGAAAGAATACACACAAAAATTCATGTCGTATAAGCTTATTTACATTCCTTAAAGTTTATATGTATTTTATGTCATATTTACGTTTATATATATTGTTTTAAGCTTATTATGTTTATATAACCTTATATTGCATTTTATGTTCATGTTATTATATATTCTAAAGTCATTGGTGAACAGGACTTCCTTTTGATTGGTGGGTTTTTTTTTTTTTTTTTTAAGGATTTTTTTTAATAAGTGAAAAGTGGTTTTCTTTGTTTATTTTTTCAAAGATGATAAATGTGGTGTTACATTGTCATCACGTTTCTTTACAGATTCCTTACACGTGTTATCTTTCTTCTACAGATTTCTGGCCTTGCACCAACTAACCCGCACCTTTTCACTTTCCTTCCCTTCCATAACTCATTCAACCCTTCCTAGAATACCCCTCTTCCACCGTCTATTCAAAAACCCTACTATCGCTCTTATTCCTCAGTTCGCCATCTTACCATGGATATGACGAGTTTTGACGGGGCGCTACTCTTCAGTGTTGGATGCGGTGCCGTCACCGCCGTCGGGGGTTTTTGATTAATTGGTTAAACTGGATGGTTTGAATCAGATATATATGGAATTCCTGATATTTGCCCTTCATCTGCTCCGTCGTCGGCTCTTGATTTCAACCTTCGATTCGGTGAATTCCTCGCCACGTTTCTTGCTGCTAATGTTCTTAGGGCTTCACCCTTTTCTCCATTTTGGTTATCGATCTTTCTTTCATCTTCTCCACTCTCTGCCTCACCCTTCTCTCTGATATCTGTTGATATTTATGCGAAAAGTAGGGTATGTTGATAAGTTATTAACTTTATTTTCTCATACCTGTTGATTTTGTTTACTAATTGAGACATTTTCTGATGATTTTGTTTTCATGTGGGATTAGTGGTGAAGAAGGAAAAGGAATGTCTGAATCCTTCTATGTTGTAGCTGCAATTGTTCTTAGGGTTGATTGAATATTCGTTAACATGTTGATGTTATTGTGGTCTTCTTCCCCCTGTCGCTGTCAATCACGATGTTCAGGTATTTTTATATCTGTGTTTCATTTCAGCTATACATGGCCCCTGTTACACATCCAGACAGATATGCTGAAAGTATTCTTCTTACCTCCTCTGTGTTCTCGGATTCAAATGGGCTTCCCTATTTTGTTTGATATTACGGCTTACTGGTATTGTCTTTTGCTGATTGCAGGGCGGTAGAAATTTACCATATATATAGAAGTTAAGCAGAAGCTGCAGTATCAACAAGCTTTAATTCCTGCAATTCCTTGAAGTCCTCCCATGCATATTGGCTTCATAGGTTTGTTCAAATGGGGTGTTAAACATGGTCTTGGCCACTACCATTCCAGGTAAAAATCCTTACTTTCTTTTATCTATGCACATCAAGATTGTTTGTTTAATCTTTAATAATATACAAATACAATGAATGAAAGACCCAATTTTTTTATAGGAATGGAGATACATATGCTGGAGAATATCTTGCAGACAAGATGCATGGTTTTGGTGTTTACAGTTTTGCAAATGGTCATAGATATGAAGGTTCATGGCATGAAGGAAGAAGACAGGGACTTGGAATGTACACTTTCAGAAATGGAGAGACTCAATCTGGACATTGGCAAAATGGTGTTCTTGATGTTCCAAGCTCACAAAGTGCCACTTATCCTGTTTCACCTGTTGCTGTTTATCTCCTCCTTATTTTTGTCTAATTTGTTTCTATATGTTGGCATCATAGTTTTATGTTTTCATTTTGTACCTCTTGGCATCTTATTTTCATTTTTTCTAATTAAGTACTATGAAGAGTTTGCTTAAAAAAACATAAAAATAGTTTTTTTTATAAGTTTGTATATGATTTCATAGAAAATATTACTAAAAATTTAGGTTTTCATTTCAAATTAGGCATATATTGTGCTTATGGTTGAATGGTATTATGATTTCGTTCTAAGAGGATTTTTTGGGTCAGCTAATTGATGGTTATAATAGTTAGACTTCTACCTGTTGATAATGTTTCATAGAATGATCGTTACAGTTAAAGGTATGTATTATGTTTGTAGTTTTAAGTAAACTTATTTTGTGCCCATCTCGATATTTAATTTACCTTTGCTCTTGGTTCGTTGTTTCAGGGAAAACGATTAACCTAGGCTTCTCCACACCTCTGATCTGGTAGCTAAAGAGGCGGCACCACCACGAACCACCGCCAAGACTTGCTCTACTTATGTTTTATTCTCAGTAGGTGGGGGGACAAGTAGTCATATACGATTTGAGTATAATAGGGGAGAATGATGAGAACTCATAATTTGTGATTTTATATGGACCAAGGCAATTGTGTCTTTTTTCTTGGCGTATCCAACCCCGCAAAGCGGGGTTCTTCCCTAGTTTATTTGGAACTATAATCACAAATATGTCACATGAAAAATATATTTACAATTGATTTTATGTTTATATTCTACATAAAATGATTTATGAAAGTATATATGATTTTTTATACATAAATAGATCTCTTATGTTTAAAATGGGTAAAACTTTATGTGGTTATACAAATTAATGTTATATATATATATATATATATATATATATATATATATATATATATATATATTTCATCATGACATGAACATAGAATATTCATATATATAATCAAGAAATATCCTTACCATCTAAATCAACAAAAATGAATATATATATATATATATATATATATATATATATATATATATAAGTTGTAAAATAAGTAGTAAATATGTTGATATATAGTTATGTGTATAGATTCTTAATAAAAGGACACGGCATATGTATATACATGTTTTATAATCAAAGGTGGACATATATATATATATATATATATATATATATATATATACACACACACACACGAATGTGTCACGACATAAAATAGTGATAGTATAATTATATAAAGGTTTCAAAATTATCGATTATAATTATACTCGTTTTGACTAAGATTTGGGTTGTTGATTAAGATTCTATCATGTTTTGGTTTAGAAGGTTTGTGGGAGCAAGCAGCGCAGAAAAGGAAGCGATTCGTAGTGTTTCAGGGTTCTTCGATTCAGGTGGGTTTTTCCTCACTGTGCATGTGGGTCGAAGGCACCAATACCGGCCCACTAGTTTTGGATATGTATCCTTATGTGTTAGGATGCAGCAGTAGTGGTATGCTGGTTAGAGTACCAGTAGGATGGTGACTGAGTTGTTAGATATATTCATATCCTTATGTGTTAGGATGCAACAATAGAGGTATGCTGGTTAGAGTACCAGTAGGCTAGTTACCGAGCTGTTAGATATATTCATATCCTTATGTATTAGGATGCAGCAGTAGATGTATCCTGGTTAGAGTACCAGTAGGCTGGTTACCTAGCTGTTAGATATATTTATATCCATATTGTTAGGATGCAACATTAGAAGTATGCTGGTTAGAGTACCAGTAGGCTGGTTACCGAGTTGTTAGATATATTCATATCCTTATGTGTTAGGATGCAGCAGTAGTGGTATGCTGGTTCGAGTACCAGTAGGCTTGTTATTGTCTAGTGGGATGCCTCAGGGTCGTATGTACTCATGTAGGATAGCTTGAGAACTCTTAATCTAGGCTTTCTTTCCCGTTCCTTGTTTGGTTGTGGCTCTAGAGTAGGATCATCTGTTTGGGTGGCTATCTCATCACTGGTTACTTATAGCTACACATTCCATGGAGATGTGCCGGTAGCGACGCAGTGTGCTGTGAGGAGTCTAGTAGGCGGTAGTGAGTCTTCTCACTATACTTGTCTGTGCGGTAATATACATATGTGTTGACCAGCTGGATGTATTTTCTATGATATGTGTTGTTGTGTGTACTGAGACTTCGGGTAGTCTCCAGGGTTGCTGATAACTCACATGGAGTGCTGTTCGTCCACTGAGACTTCGGGTAGTCTCCATAGTTGCTGTTAACCTACATGGCATGCTGTTTGCCGAGTGAGACTTCATATAGTCTTCAGGGTCGCTGATAACCCATAACTGTTTATGTGTGTTGTGTTGTATGTGGTATTTGGGGAAAATCACTAAGCTTCATGCTTACCCAGCTGTTATTGTTTTCAAGCATCATATGTGATCGTGGAAAGGCGAAGGCCTGTCTGTACACATTCATCCGCAACAATGCAGATCCCGTGCTTACTATAACACTTTGATATTTTGATGTGGAATTGTATTTGACATTATGACTTTTCTTGGGATGGTTTTTATGAAAACTATTTTTTATGGAATTAAAAACGAAAAATTTGGTTGTGAAATTGGGATGTTATAAGTTGGTATCAAAACCATGGTTTGAGGGATTTAGATGAACACTCGTGGGATTCCAAACTTAAACTCTGGACCTGAGAATTTTGTTAAAGCTTTTTGGAGAATATTCATTTAAAAAGAAGAAAATAGAAGATGCGATGTGTACAGATAGTCGGAGCTCGAAAAGTGATTTCCCAAATTATCCATTCTTGCTTTATATGATGTATTTGAATTGTTGTTATATGTTTTGTAGTATGATATGCATAACATGAGTTAGGATAGCATGCCTACTTAGGAGATATGTTTTTTTGTGTATGATATATGAGTGGTAGTGTGTGCTTGGGGTGGCATGGATATTTGAGATTGATAGTGGTTTAGTGTAGTGACTTAGGGACTTTCATACAATTCTCGGGACACATACAGATAGGTATGGAAGGTAGTAGGGGACCGTACTACTGAAAGCATAGGATTCGTACGAGGGCCGGGAAGGGTCAAAAGCTAGGGAAGAGTAGATAGTGTGGTATAGCACTAGCGTTAGTTGCAGTTGTCCCCGTTATTGTTAGCATGTCGACCGTGATTATTCAGAATGAGACTGGTAATGGTTTGGGGCGTAGTATATGTGACTGTTTGGGACTGGATGGTGCAAATTTGTGTGAGTTAGCTGACACAGAGGTCTTGGGCAGTGGCGAATCTAGGATTCAAACTCACATGTGTCCTATATAAATGAAATAATAAAATTAACGGGTCAAAAAATTTGGTTATCGGGTCGGTTTATTAGTAATATCACTCATCTTATTAAGCAAATCGTTTTTATCAACTTTATTATTTCATTGTGGGTTATCATGATTATGTCACAAAGAGCTAGTTTCACCTTTTTGTTTATAAACCATTAACATATTATCTAGAATAATCATCTGCATTCTGCACAGCAGCTACCCTCACTATCAGAGCATAACCAAGAATTCTCCCTCTCATAAGCTTCTTAGATTCTCCAAGACTCTCCCCGATTCGAGTATGGATCATGTGATTTCAGTAGTACGGGCCCATACTACCTTCCACACCTATCCATACTTTCCTCAGCAATCCTCCCGAATCCTCTAAGTCACCTACTCTACTGGTGCACCAAATATCCGCTAAACAGCAACACAATACTCACCAAAGCAACTCCTAGGCTGCCCCTAGGTTCCCAACCTCACCGAACCGCCCCACTAACTCACTGGAGCATATCCTAGGCTTCCCTAGGTTCCCAACCTCACCCTGCCATCAGCTGCTGAAGAACTCCCCATGATGCCAGCCATCAACCTCCTGGATATCGTCATATCCACTTAGTAGCTGACTCCCATCACTCAAGAGTTCCACAAAGCACAAAGCAAGCAGCATTCGTGCAGTAGCACTCCGATCCAAAGGACTGTCATAGAACATTCAACCCACATATCGCAACTCATGCTATCCACATCCATCCATCCTCACTGCCGGCTGCCTTATGCATGCAAATTATACACAAAACAGGATCTAATAGACTGTCGAATAATAGACTCTACCCTAGGACCACAACCAGACGAGGAACATGAAATAAGGCCAAATCAATTATTCTAAGGCTATAAGATCCTAACCGTATACAATTTTAAAAGCATACACTTAGCAGTTACTAATACCAATAATCATCATCATTCTAGCATGGCATCCAATATCTCCAAGGCTACAAGCCTCACACATTAGGCCAATCTATCGCTGCCTACTCAGCACTAGCATGTAATTCTACCAGCTCATACAACATATAAAGGCATATCTCCTAGCCCTAACTAGCATGCGATTCTTAGATCCATAAACCAAGTCATAACAGATAACATATATGGGTATTCTGGGGAAACTTACTTGAGCTCGGTTGATTGCATGCACCACACCCTTTCTTGTCTTAGAAAACCTTTTCCTTGAAAACATTTTTCTTTTTGAAAACTTTACAGATCCTCAGTTTGAGTTCAGACACACCCGAAAGTATGCCGAATCCCTCAAACCAAGGCTCTGATACCAACTTGTAACGACCCAAAAATCAAGGGTAAAAATTTCATTTTTAATATAGATAAAACATTGATACCATTTATTTCGAACATCTTAAATCATTATTAAGTAAAACATTTATCAGAGTTTATCCCAAAATTATTCATTGCGGAAATCATAGGTGTGTGCACTGCGATCAATCCGAGCCCTTCTTTTCCAATCGATGATACCTGAAACCAAAACGGTAAACCGTAAGCACAAAGCTTAGTGAGTCCCCCAGAGCATACGCCACACACAAACCACATAACACATATCATATTAGCTATAAAAGCTATCTCTACCACATACCACATGTCATATTAGTTATACAAGCTATCTCTACCACATAAGCCATGCACAACAACATATAAGGATGTCGTTGGCTCCCCCCAAGGTCTTATACCTTCATGACATGGGCTCCCCCATGGTATTTACCTAGAAATGTCATGGGCTCCCCCACATGGTCTTATATACAACTGCCACGGGCTCCCCCCGGGGTCTTCCATGCAATAACATACATAATCATATAGCATATCATATATCACAGGAGTAGCTATCATACTACATAACACATACATACACATATAAGGATGTCGTGGGCTCCCCCAGGGTCTTATACCATCATGCCATGGGCTCCCCCACATGGTCTTTACCTAGGAATGCCATGAGCTCCCCCACATGGTCTTATAGCCAACTGCCACGGGCTCCCCCCGGGGTCTTCCATGCAAATATCATATAATCACTAGTATACCACTTAGCATAAAGCTAACTATCATACCACATATCTCTACTACAGCTAGTGTACCACATCACATAAAATGGGCCGGCCTTGGTGCCTTAGACCCATTGGTATGGTGAGAAGACTCACATGGCACTGCTGAAGCCCTGTTGATGCTCTTCTGGCTGCTACCTGGAAACTCCCCGAACTGCTACTCCTTCGGCTCCCCAAGCTATCAGTACCAAAATAGCACTTAGGCCAAAATACCCTCAAAAGTCAAACTAGGTCAACCTTGGTCAAAGTCAAAGTCAATGGTCAAAGTCAACGCTCCGAGTTGACTCAACGCGCCAAGATGCCCCATCAACTCGTCGAGTTCTAAAACTCAGATTCCTGAA